CTCTAAGCACCACAACGTGGAGTGAGATGGTGGGATCAGCCGAGGAGCAGGAAATGAAAGAGGCGTTTATTGAGTGATGCCGGTATATTTGTACATTGGCAGACCAGGCTTGCATGTGCGTAGTCATTGCACTCTTTATGAGATTGCGCCTGGTCACATCTTCCTTTCCTTGAAAAAAAAAAAAGGAAGAGGCTGGAACACAAAAACGTTGAAAGAATGAGCAGTGAAAAAGTGTTTGATTTGCACTACATCCACTGAACTGTCTCTGTAGGACGCTCTGGGAGAGAATAGCGTTATGGCTCTCTGTGCCATCGCATGCTTCTACAGAGTGCTTCTTGAGGTGCTTGTTGCTCAGCCTTGTACATTTGGGAGCTGGATTGATTGGTTGCTATCGCACTTTAGGTCTGCTGCGAGGAAACCGGTCCTTCAATTGGTCTGAGGTGTTCTCTCGTGCGTCACAGATGCTGGCTGCTCTCAGTCGCAACGACATAAAAGCGTGATGTAGTTGCCGGGCCTATGACTACAGCTGGTGCCTATGTCTTTCTTGTTGTATCATAAACAGACACTGGGGATTTACTTGGCACATCCGGTATATTCCACATTTATCTATTGTAGAAGATGCGTTGTTTGCCCCAAATTTTGTCGAGTCGCTTTCGTACAACTTTGATCGGCATGGTTTGCGGTTTGAGGTGGCAGTCTAGTACGGGCAGCTTCATTCTTGTCTGTTGACCCATGAGGCGTTAGGCAGGCGATTTTGGGCAGTCATTTCTTGGCATGTTTCTCTATTCTAGCAAGGCGCTCTAGAACTACAGAGTTCTAAACCGGCACTTCTTTAGTAGTTTTCTTGCTTCCTGGATGGCCCTTTCAGCCATGCCATTATTGCATGGGTACTGTGGACTCAAAGTCACGTGGTTGATGTGTAACTGTGTGGAAAAAATAATGAAGCATGCACTATTGAAGGGTGGCCCATTATTGTTGCATATCTTTGTGTGGATGCTGTGCATGGCGAAGATTTGCATGCAGACATTTGTCACTGCTTCTGCCTTTGTTCGATGCATCTGCTTGATCTTGAAAAAAAAATAACAATAGTAATCTACCATAATAAGGTACTCATCGCCTTCGTAGTAAAAAAAGTCGGCTCCGACTACTTGCCACGGCAAAGTAGGTATATCGGGACTGAGCATAAGTAACCTGGAATTCCTGCTCTTGTACCTTTGACAAAGTTGGCACACCTTCACGAGATCTGTAATATCCACCGACGTGCCAGGTCAGTACATAACTGCTTTAGTTCTTGCCTTCATCTTTTCTTGGACTCCATGTGTCGCATGGAGCAGACGGAGTACTTCTTATCTTTTTGTTTGTGGAATGACGAGCTTGTTGCTTCTTAGAAGGCTATCTTTGACGTGAAGTTTGTCGCAGTAGTTTCAGTACGCTTGTGAGGCCTCGGACACCTCATGCTTGCTCTCGGGTCATTTTTTGCTTGAATATCTGCACAATTCGGTCATTTCAGTCATTGCTGTGTCCTTGAGTACCTCTTCCTGGATTTCTTGCAGTTGCCGATCAGAGACTGGAAGAGAAGAAAAAGCATGTACCTGAAAATCCAGCGATTCTTCTTTCAGCTTCATCTTGTATAGAAAGCGCAAAAGTGTATACACTAGAAACAGTTTTTTTTCTGGCTTGTAAATCACCTTTAGAGGAAAAATTTGAAAGGAGAGTCTCGTACACTGCAATCGTAACGGGCACTCACAAAATGGTTTCCTAAATATTTACTCTATGATTAGATTCGACGAGAACCTCTGGCTGCCCTGTGATGTACTCTTCAAACCTTGCACACACGTGAACAATGGCTAGCATTTATTTCTTGATTTGGGCATATTGCTTTTGTGCCTCGGTAAGTTATCTCGACAAGTTGGTGATGGGGTGCCTGCTTTTCTAAATAACTGCCGCTACTCCTTTCTGACTTGCGTCTACAGACGTCATGAGAATTCTTTTCTTAAAATAGGCAAGAATGGGTAATTTTGTTGAACAAGCACGGAGCCCTTGGAAGCTCTCTTGGGTCTCTTGTGTCCACACCCATTCAGCGTTCTTTTTCAATAGTTCCTGGAGGGGTGCGGACAATGAAGACATGTTTTGGATGAAACGTGCCACTAAGTTGATCATTCCGAGAGAAACCTGAGCTCTTTACAACTTTGTGGTGGTGGCAGCACTTGCAATATGTAGTCTGCTCTCCCAGGATCCAGACAAAGTTCATCTTGGGTAGACCAGGCAGGCCAGGCTTGTGCATGCGCAGTCACTGCATTCTTGGTGATGTGCTTTGTCACAGATGGCACTACTTGATGAGTTGAAAAATGCTAGCTATCACATATAGAATGAAGTATTTAGTTTGTTTCAATGTATTATGCATACTTTACACTCATGATGAGTAAATATATACATGTGCTGTGCGGGCATTTTTAGTTTCGTATGCTTTGTTTTTTGATATATTGAATAACATTACCTGAAAAAGCACTGATTGGTTTCCTGATCAACCTGAAATATGATTCTTAAGTAATTACTCACTTGTCTTAAAAAGACATGCTGAGGTGAAAAGTTCTAAAGTTTACTTTTCATTTCTCATTGCCAAGACTTCATTATTTGTGTAGCAGTTCTTTAGCCGAGTTAGGAGTCTAATGTTGAAAAGGAAAGTTGTGACTGTTGGGAGAACATCTAGCATTATGTTGCAGAGTTTAAAGCACATGCCTAATATTTATTGTGTCTTGTTGAATTAATTACATCTATGAAATATAACATTGCACTTGGTTCAATCACATGTTTCATCTAGAAATATGTTTGCTCTATATAACTGTTATAATTGGCAACAAACCATTGGGGTATGGGATTTACCAAGAAACATGAATGCAAACTCAGAAGTGTTACTTATTTTTTATGTTGTGCTTTCGGTCTGTCATGTCAGGAGAAAGTTTTATTGTGACTTTGAGTGCATCAAATTTTAATTTACTCTCATCATGTAACTTCAGAAAGAAAGTGCTTGCACTAGGCTTGGTTTTATAATAGACTGCCTATTTTAATCAATCAATCATTTTTATTTTCCACTTCAGCAAGTAGAGGGCATGGGAAGTAAAAGCTTTTGCAAGCTTGACTAGGTTTCCGAGCTGTACTTCTATTTGTACTTCTTAAAAAGAGATGTGTGGGACCACTTCTTCTACCCTGCTAATTTTTCTGGTACAGAACTGAGTAATACAAGACGCTTTTTTTCCCCTCAGCCTTTATACTGCAAGATGTGTAACGCCCACAATACTTAGCATGAGACTCACATTTATAGCAGCATGTTGCCATGCTTTTATGTGCTCTTGAAGGTTTTACCATATCGTCTGTATTATTCTTGTCATAAATTATTGGATCGGCAACTTTGATTGATGTGAACTTATGGAAGACAAATTTATTTTGTACCATTGTCGAGAAAATACGTTCTTTGTCATGAATACTGGGCTCTTACAGTTGGTTGATAAATTTTGTGCTGAGTGTGAGGGCAGGTTCTTAGTTACGTTTATTTGGTTGCAGGATGTCGGAAATTAGAGACAGTAAATGATTAAGAATTGGTGCACGCACCATAAAAAAGAAGCCACTACATAAAGTGCCCAAACAACCATATAGCTATGTGGCTAGCACTCAGTTATTTCTTGCTTTTGCTGGTGTTTTAAGCAAGTTTATACTGTTCGTAGGGTATATGAAATTGTAAACATAGTGCAGATTCCACTTGACTAGACATCAATGTCACGGAAATGTGCAGCTTTTCATGCAGCATTTCTTATAGTGTACATCTGTTTTCATGCATTGTAAATGTATACAGTATTTATTGTTGTAATGATGTGTAATTTGTTTAACTTTATCTCTCTCTACTTTTACTTGACAAATTACTGGTTGCGGGAATGAATTCTGGCTGCGGTAGCTGCATTTTCGATGAAGGAGAAAATGTTTGAGGCCTGTGTGCTTAGATTTAGGTGTACGTTATAAGACCCCCTCCCCTGCTGGTCAAAATTTCTGGAGCCTTCCACTACGGTGTTTCTCATAATCGCATTACGGTTTTGGTACTTTAAACACCAGATATTAATATTATTACTTGGCACATTATTGTTTCATGTATCAACTTTATGTTATGTTTATTGAGCAGTGAAGAAAGGTTAGAATATTATTACTGCTTTTGCTATTTTTGGCTGGAATAATGAGGGCACCTTTGTTGCCCGGAATTGAATATTTGGGAATGCAGGCAATCTGTGATGTCACAGACAATTTTATATTCTGTTGTTGCATTCCACACTAGTTGGCAGCATCCATCAGACGAGTTATTGCTTCAAAATGTTAGCAGAACAAATAACCAGCGCTTATACGAGTGCACTACCTTTTTCTCAAAATCTTTGAGTTTTTTTTTGTTAAAAAAAAACAATGAATTGTAGCCTTAGTTCACTTACTCATCAGCTATAATTAATAGTAAATATGGTAATGCAATGAAACAGTTAATCTTACGAGCAAGTTCGAACTTAAAGTAGTTGAAATGTACACTATGTGTCTATTCATGTCACAACATACAGACTTTGGACCATGTTTCACATCTTGCAAATACTTTTAGGTGTCTTATGTCTGTTGCTTTACCTTTTATAAATGAAATAGGAACTCTTCTGAAAGCATTATATCTGACCTGTTGAGGTTCATGGGCCTATGCATTGAACTCTGCAAATAGCATGGGTCTTGGCCAGTCTCAGCTTCAAAGTTTGAAGAACCAACCAATACAAGTGCAACAGCAGATGTACCAGTAGTTGATGCAGTTTTTATGTTTTTCTTTAAGTCTTCTGTTAATGTATTATCGCCAATTTACACTGTTGAAATAGTGGCATAGTGCGACTTGAATCTGTTTGCATAGCAAACATTTTCTCTATCTGAATATTTTTGAGAAGTGGCCTGTGTCAGCAGTACAGGAGCTTACTACAAAAAGAAAAGGCCAGTTTTGCTCAATATGCAAGAACTTTATTACACATCACATAACAAAATCTACACTGCTTGCACTGAGTAAAAACAATTTTGTTGGCACAAATGTGCAGTCTCCTTTTCTGTATCTAGTATATTAGTGAAACAAATTATCAAGGAACATGAGGGTTATCTTTAATGGAGATCAAAATTTATAAAATTGTTTTTCAGAACAGAAAAAAAAATGCACAAAAAACACGATTTGCTGGGTTCTGACACAAAAAAAAATGCCACGATGGAATGAAAGCAACTCCATCTGTACTGCAACTTTGAAGACTAGTGTGCTTGTACCACAACAGAATCCAATAAAACTAATGATGACAATAATTGTTTTTACTTCATATTTGTATTTTTTAACATTACCACAGCACCTAATTAAAGCATGAAATATCTAAAACCCATAAAAAAACTGGCTTGCACTAGTGCCGCTGAAAAGATTGAATTTTAGTCCCTTCCTGAAATACTGGCTGCTGCCCTATGAATGCATGCATGATGTATGTAATGCAAATTCAGACATGTTCGTTTGGGGCTCATGGCACGTGACAGTGGATACTCATGTGGGAGAACGTCACAAGCCGACACAAGAACTGTGAGGTATGAAACAAGCATATGGCCACCCAGAGCTTCAGTTTCTTTCATGCACTTTGCAGTGATATTGGAAAAAAAAAGCAAACATTTGGAATACTGCTTCAAAAGCACACTCGGCACAAATTATGAATCTGTGTTTTGTACATGTGAAACAAAGTGATGCAGCATTGCATAGTTTCAAATGATGAGGCAATTAATGGCGCACTGAACCTACTGTAAGGCAACAGTCTGAAGTTGTAAGACAGGTGAGAGGTATGGTATCGATTGATGCCCCCTGAGTGTGACTACCTAATTTGCTGCATGGCGGTGAAAGATGATGAATGGTCATGAGTCACTGGAACATTTATTCTGCCCAAAGACTGTTGCAGAGGACGCTCAAGCACACTGCTCTGCAGTAATGTCTGCAAATGAGGCCCCTTGTGTTTTTTGGCAGCGGTGTGGCAAGTTTCACAGGTACGTGCTACCACTGCCTGTCCAGACTGTCTTTCTCCTAAATAAATATAACAATGTCACAGCATATAAAAGCCTTGTTCCCCCCTGCCTGCAGGTAGCAGAGATGTAGCACAACAGCCATTACAGCTAAACACTCTTACATATACACACATTTCATGCACACACTCCCACATACATTTGCACACGCACATGCACACTTTCATACACACACACATTGAAGTATTGTACTTGGAACATGCAGACGAAGCCTACTGATGCCAATGGGAATAGCCATAAGGCATCGGTTGACTTGTGAAAACTGCACCAGCTGGCAATGCTCAAAGCTTTGCACAGACAATCGGTTTTGAGTCTTTACGAACTTTGCCAAAGTACTAAGGATGGCATTTTGTTTCCAGTCCACTCGCCTCAGTTGGGCTGCTGTTTGTGGGAGAATGCATTCCACTGTGTTCAGTGAACGCGTCTGCTGTACAACACACAATAGGTCCCTAGGTTCAATATATTAGGCTACTACGCGTGCACTGTCCTTGTAGAGATGCAGTCTGAGTGTTGAGCGGCCCAAAATTGCTGCAGGCTTGCTTGCAAAGGCTGGCAACCTGGAAGAGACACTTGGCAGTCTATGTACACTGACTACAGGATCCCGGGCACCACTGGCACGCACTCCCGGCACAGTTATATTGCACCAGCAATGTGCAGATGACATGATGGCACTGTCCTCACGTAGAATTTGCGTTATCGGCAGCAGAGGTATCTACCACATTGTTTCTGTTGTCTTCCTTCTCCTTGGCACTGTACGAATTGTCACTGTAGTCAACATGTTGGTAAGTGTGCCTGTCTGGGTCCTCAATAGGTACCTCTTCATCTTGCTCGTCATCGAAGTCCATCAGCTCCTTCGAATAGGGACACTGGAGGCACCTTTCAAAAAAAGAGAACACAGTTTCAGACGGCAGTAAATCTTGTATGCACATATGTGAGCTTCCGTGTGTCAAGGTACTCACATTACTGCAAGAAAGCTGTGACAAGACATATTAAATTCAGTCACAAGTACTGCCAGTTCAATGAAGAATTGTGTCTTGTCTAGACTTGTGCCCAGACTTGTCTATTCTCAATAATGCTTGAAACTCAAAAGTATATCTAGTAGATATGTTCAAACAGAGATTCTCCACCCACAAACTTTTATCTATAGTGCTCAAAAGTGGCCTGTTTGAATACTTGTACTAGCCGTTCAGTGATTGCTTGGTGCAGTACCAGCTTATTTGTTTCTTCGAATTTGGTAAATGTATATTTAAAGGCCATTCTGTAAATCACCATGAAAGTTCAATGTAATCATCGAATGACCACCTCACTGTCTCACTTCGTTGCCTTATATATTGACTGCTGCAAAAATGTCTTGACTCCATGAAAACGAGAGGAGTTTCAGGGTTTTGTTACCCGCTTTAAGCACTTTCTTCTCTTAATCTGATGGGCACCCTAAAAGCCATTGTTGCCGAAGGCTATTTATGAGCCTTATATTGTCATGGGGTCGTGACGTGGACGAAGGGAGCAGACTGCAGGTGGAATAATAAACTGTTTATTCAAGCCGAACTTGTGGCCACGTAAAAAGAAAGTCAGCTTACACCAAGACACTGGCAGTGATAGCGGCGAACAGAGCGTCGGCCGTCGATCAAGTGACAAGCGGGGACGCGTGTCGGCATTTATACACTCGCCATCGAACAACCTAGCGTTATCGCTAGCGATGACGTAGATTCTAGATTCCAGAATCATCTGAAATGCTCACAACATGGGCGTAATCTCAACAAAATGATCTACGGCAGCCCTGAAGCTTCTCAAACACTGTAAGCGCAGTTTGCGCTGGGAATCGCGTACAGTGTAACGGGGTGATAAGAAAATTTGAGGAAGGAACATGGCAATATGTAAAAAATTGTGGGTGCAGAATTTTAGTTTGAACATAGCAAATACACTTTTGTGCTTCAAGAAATGCTGAGTATTCAAGTGGATGACAAATCTGGAAACACAACTCTTGATTGAACTGGTAGTGCTTGTGGCTGCATTATTAGTCTTGTTAAAGCTTTCTTGTTACATACACAGGGAGGGATGGCATGGGGGAAAGAAGTGGCATCAGAGTGGGTCATGACTTTGAGCGTGCTTGATGAAACATGATCATTCTCTCCTGCTGCGATTCCTGTGTGTGTTAAGTGTGTATTGTAAGCAAACTAAAAGGCATGGCACCCCATATCAAGAAGAACATCTGATTCAAACACTGCTCTTGATTTATGTTGGCTATTGGCCAATTGCATGCTCTCTGCTGTGTGATGCCCAACAGTAGGTGCTAGCAGTCCGGAAGAGGGTGAGGACAGGCCTCTCTATTAAAACAATGTGCCTAAAAAATGGAAACTTTACACTTTGCTTTTAAACTATTTGGCTTCACATGCCTGCAAGATTTGGCTGAGCTGTTCATAGTAGTGTCAGCTTTTCACATGATGCGCTTTTTCACCAAGTCAGGGGTAGTACTACATGACCCTTCTAAATGCTAATGCATCAATATTCAAGTCACTACTGAGACAATAGAATTACAGAAATCGAGAAATTTTATCTTCGCAATTCTTTCATGGCCAAGTATCTGGAGTGACCTCTAAACTTGTGACACATCTGGTGCATATACTCAAGAATATCCAGAAGTATCTCAAGAATAATATGTACTTAAGAATAACCAGAAATATTATTGTGGTATAAAATTGAAGTTTGGAAAATTAAAAAGGACCCCAAACCTTGTCAGTAGCTTATACATAGTTATTAAATATTTACCAACAATATTATATTTACTGAGAAACACGATTTATAAAATCATAAAATTGTAACCAGATGAATGGTCTGCTTTTTGAGTGCCGGAATTCCGCAGCTTGCAAAATGAACTTTCTCGTTCATCAACGAGCATGGTGAATTCGCAGGAGCATTACATGCAGACCAGAGCAGCAGAACTATCAGTTTGAGTATAGCTTATTTTTAGCCTCATCTCCTAAGATCTTGTTCCTGCAGCATCAGAATGCTTGAATATCTGGTTGCTTGAAATGCTATCTGGTTGCTTATGGTTGCTTGAAATTGCAACCATAAAATCTTTGTGTGGTAAGGAGTGAATGTTACCAGGGAGTGAATTCCGAAGCTCTACTCTATTGCACATGAAAAAAATCTTAATATAGATGTATTAAATTACACCAATAAGTTAAACAGAAGTACTGTCTTTAAAAAGCCCTCATTAAAAATATAAGCAAGAGAAAGAAAACAACAGAATGGGACTCTGAAGCAATGTCAATTACAGAAAAATGTAGCTTTCTAAGACAACCCTCATGTAGCTGACGAAGTCATTTACAACTTTGAAGTTATGTTGCAGTAATTCCCACTGGTACGTTAGAGGCAGCCCCTAAAGGCCTTTACACTATCAAAGCAGCTCTATACTGGCATGTAACTTCCACAGGACCTTATACCTGTGCCACAGGGGCATAGAAAATGACATTCAGTATTGAAAGCATTCCGTTCCCGCATGACATTTTTTTCGGCGGTGCTGCTACACGTCCAAAGGGAATGACATTTGACTTGATGATGTCGATTGCAGCACCTTCCTCATGAGCATTAGGTGAGTAGCAATAAAAAAATAATTAAGCATTTACAAGCTTCACACACATCAGATAATAAATAAATGTATAAGTAAGCATATTATGCTGCCGTTAGATTTAGTTCGTTACTTTGTTTCACGACGTTGCAACCGACCATGTAGCAACTTAAGCCAAAGCTATTTAGATCCGCAGCGTAAAAAGATAATGGCACCTGTTGCATTTATTTTACATTGTTCACCAGCTGAAGATAAGTTTTTAAGCACTTGTGTAAGTGATTAGTGAAAATAAAATACACAAAAAGTTTCCTTCCAGTCGAATCAAATGTCGTTTTATACAATTACTTCATCAGCTGTACCGTCGAGACTATGCATTTCTCAGTCAAATAAGTTCTGGCGATGGCATTAGGTGACGAATGGCATTTGGGCGAATGCCATTTTGTTCATCCGTGTGGCACGTGCGAATGACATTCAATCTGAAGGCACTAGGAGGTAAATGTCATTTTCTCTGCCCATGTGACAAGGGTGTTACTCGTTCTGTAGCCACTATCAGAGCAAAGTTGATCTTTCCTGAAGTGGATGGTTGCTCTCCGATTTTCTTAAACTAGGCATCAAGTGTCATAAAACTAACAATATGACAAGTTGGGCCAATTGGTAAGGATAAATATTAAACTTCATTACAGCACCACACTAGACACGTACAAAAAGAAGGGAAACACATAACACGACCATGCATTGTACTTGTTGCAGAGCCGTGGTGTCATTTTCAGTACGAAGGAACAAAAGTAAGTTATTTGAACCTCTAGTTTATACATTACATTAAATTGACAAGTTTAACTTTCAGAAAGCTCCCATTAGAGTTCTGAAAGTAATGAACACCTAACTACCAACACATTATGTCTAGCTTGAACAAATTTTATAAGACTAAACTGAATAATGATTATCAAGTAGTATCCCCAGTATTCCGAGAACTTTGGCCATCAAGCATAAAAATCCTCGCGATGTATGCAATATGTCATCACCTGCTGCCCTTCAATGTTTAATAACACTAACCTGCTTTCATTGATTCCATAATTGATGCACATGCTTCCAACACATTGGCAGCAACCATCATGGAACCACCTGTAGCTTGAAGCTCCCATGGAGAGGCACGACTCTCTACACTTATTCAGTGACATGCATTGTGACATGAATGCCACAGTGCAGTTCACCTGTACATCCTCCTCTTCAACTACTTCTGATGTATTCCCATTTGACACCACTGTAAGAAAATATAGATATGCAAATCAAGACCTCCAGCACAGCTCTTAGCAAGTTTCCAATAATTCTCAGTTTCCTTATTTTTATTGAAGGTCACCAGTACTTTGAAAGGCAACTTATGTTAAAGGGGCCCTGCGACATTTTTGGGCCAATTTTATTTAGCACTGGAACGCATGTAGCGATGATTACTGAGACGCATACAACAAAAATGATGGAAATTGATGCACGGAAAGTGAAGTTATGAGTCCTCAAAGTTCAAAACTCGAGCAGACGATGAGGAGAAACATTCTCTTTCACATTGCACTCACCTGCTGACGTCAAAAGACCACTTTTAAGTCGCTGCGCGCGTCTCACAAAGATTCCAGAAATGTCACATCATTGTGGTTTTCACGCAATACCTCACTACCGCTCTTTATCACGGCGTCGTTAGCATGGTTACTGCAAACCACGTGCGTGGGGTAGCAGACGCTCCCATGGTCACACTGTGTAAGATACACACATACGCCTTGGGTGGGGTCGCCTTTCAGCTTGCATGCAAGACGCGGTGGTCTTAAGCAACGCCGGCGCCCACCGCCTGTTGCATTTTTGGCTCGCTAAAAAGGCGGCATGCGTTTCCACTTTCAGTCACCGGGGTACCATAGCCTCGTTCGCTGGCTGAAAATTCGTTGTTCTGAAATTCGTCGTTGTTCTGAAATTACACCATTACAAAACAGAAATCGATTTCTTTCTTAGAAAATATAAAAAAGGTTTTTGCTGTTTTTAGCACACACTCGTATGGCCTAGCTACCATTATATGAATATTGCACGCTATTTCTCGTGTCAAGCCAATGAAAAGCGAACAGTGTTTGTCGTTACGTCACATTACACGACGTCACTTCCCATAACAAAAATAGCCGATGTCTCGCCTTAGTCTAAAATCAAGGTAGTTCATCCTGCGAATTAAAATTATAACCGCGTCAATTTCAGCGTTGCCATGTGTGCAACGATATCAGTGCGTCCAGAGCACCAGCATAACCGATGAAAAATATGTGCTCAAATACTGTCGCAGGGATATAATGCCCCTTTCATGCATTTCTATCAATTTTATTGTACAGTGTGTGGCATTCCAAAATAAAGGATTAGGTTTCTAATTATTGTAATTTAAACAGCCATAAACGTTGTGGTTTTTATGTTGTCAAACAGTAATCACAGATGCAAGAATAGCACTGTATAGGTTGTCCCTAGCAAAATAGGGGTTCAATTTTTTTGCTTTCTGTCAGAACAAAATTCGCTTCACTCAACGATGCAAAAAACAGTCTTGTATATTGTGGTAAATACATTCATTCATTATGCATTGATGCTTCATGAGACGTAGCACAAGGAGGAAAACCCACTCCAGATAGACAAATGGGACTAGCCTTAAAGGAGTACTGACATGAATTTTAGATAGTATTTTGGTGTTGTTGCTTTAAATAAAAACGTGGTGGTCGAGAACCCTAAAGAATGTGTCATAGTGCTTTAGAATGCATTCCATATATATTGAATATATTTTTAATATCGCTACCCTAAAAGAGCAATTTCGGTTTTGGCATTGAGAGGTGGCTTCGCAGTGATGTGCCAAGAGAGGTGCGATGCCACGGGAAGAGTGCAACTCGTGACATATTAGTAACAGCTGCCTGATCGCTGCGAATCACAGATAGTTCACATAAACGATAGGTGAATTGTCATCCAGATACTCTGATAGTGATTTCTGCAGTTTAGGCTGCATGCAAGATGCAAATAATGTCGCAAACTCAGTCAACTGTGTTTACTTGTCATGATAATGCCCATTGCGGTGGGGCTGGCTTGTAGATGCTGAGCGACAAAAAGTTTTAAAATTAAAGTAAAATATTTATACTTGTTGTCTGGCTCCGGTATGCAGAGAACCTTGATAGTGCACACCAAGGAAATGAAAAATGTCCCTTTTGAGCTGCCTTGAAATTGTGTCGGTACTCCTTTAAGCTTGCTCAATGCCACATGTACACTTTTCAGCGACCTGAAGCTAATGAAGTTGCAATATGGCATTTGTAACCTCAATGACAAAAAGAACATAAAAAAAGGACAAAATTTTCATATTTTTGCTTTACATTTGTTTATATTCATATAGCACTGCTGCACAACAAAAACATTGGTATCAAGAATGTATATTTGATGGCTGCATGAACTTTTGAACTTTTATAAGCCATTAATGACATCACGTCCTGCTGCAAGTACATTCGAATGTTTCACAGCAACCTAGAGCCAAGGCGTGAGGCATTTTTGTAGTTTTTTTTGCTCGTGTATATCTGTGGCTTGGGCATGATACATCTACTACACCACACATACAAGTGAAGATGTTGCATCGACTGTTTGAAAATGCCAACTTACTTTTCTATTCTAATTAAACGACAAGTGCGTTGCCGTTGTCTTGCAAAAAGAAGTGCAACTCTTTAGTAGTGCTGTGGTCACAAGAATCACTTATCTCCTCAGTCACGTAAAATTACAAAGCACGGGCAGCTTGCCTAGTTTTTGCAGTAAGCAAGTTCTGAAAGTTCTATTTGTTAGTGTGCTAGGTCCTGCTTAAAAGGAATTTTCAAAGAATGACTCATAAGTACGTTGTTTCCGATTTGATAATTTCTTAAAGATGTGTTTTTCCACTATTGGCACTTCTCAAAATTGCAATTTTTTATAATCTTCATACTTCGTGTAGGATGGCAGCAGAAGAGCTCACATAAACGTGTTGCTTCGCATTGAGTCAACTAGAATACAGGGTTGGCACCCCTGGATTCTAGTTTTTTTCTCAAAGGGGAAGGGGGGCACACAGGACAAGTGAGATCTTTTAGAAAGAGGTGGGCAAAGGAATATGCCGCCTCTTCCAGAACCACTTTTCATGAGGTGGCCACTGTGTAGCAACCAGTGCTTTGCACAGCAAGTTGAAGCACTCCTAGTATTAGTACTCAGAAATAATATATTCAAGAGTTCATGGCTGACACCTAGGTGGTGATATTCGTCCAAACCCCTGCATAACTTGTCGGACTTCTTGTTTTTTTAATAAAGTTTTTTTAATAAACTTTTTGTGGCTTCTTGTATAGAATTTTGGGTGTTACTGGACGTTCTATAGAATGGTATTCATCTATCCATCCGTGAATGTGCTTTAGTATTTGGCAAGACAAAGTGAAAAAAGAATGAATTAAGAAGTATGGTAGAGCTAACTAAATTAACAAATTAATTGTGGCCAAAATTAGAAAAAATATGACAAGTGCTAATTGTATACACTTTTTCAACGAAGGCTACGTAGGTACTTCCATAATCTCCTCCAAGCTGTGGTAAATATGTGCGACTCCTCAAAGATTTACTGTTGGCTGCAAATGTTAGCGCTATCTGCAGTACTGCAGATCCCACAAACTTCTACCGCTGACAGTAATGCCAAAGTAGCGACGTCAGCGAGCACCGGCCTTTGTGCTCCCGTGCCACAGTCCGGACGGGAGGCATTTCCTTCCCCGTTGAAAAGGTCTGCACAAGAGAACTGCAGTGCCACCATTACCCAGCTCATGACGGCAGCATTAACATTTTTAAATAAGTCGCATGCGAAGTACTAAGTAGAGTGAACTTTGATACTGAAGCTGAATTTTTTAATAAAGCTCAGATTTTCGTCCTGGGGGACCACCTATGATGAGAGAGGACCTTCAGGGGTTGGTGGATGTGAGGGGCCAGGTTAAAATTTTATAGGGGCAGCTTCAACCTATTACCCTCTGGTGCCAACCCTACTGAATAGCTTGGTGAATAATAAGAGAGATTATTGGGTAGGTGCTACTCAAGAAAACCTCAATAACATGTTTTTGGTGAAAGCTTGCCATGGCCCTTGCTGCGCTTCAAACCTTTCTCCTAGACCACGATGATTACTTCTACGTACTTCATAAAAGTAAGTACAATCATATCACATTTTTCTGACACTTCTTATGAGATGAAATAAGTATGTTTTATTGTAAGCAGGCTCAGCCATACTAGTTTTTCACATCATGGTGGATGAATTATTGTTCGAGAGAGCTTGTTTTCTGAACCAATAATTGCAGTGATTGTTACATAACTTACCAGCTTTCAGCTTGATATCTTTTTCATGCACAGGGCTGTACAATTCCGCATGCACAGGAAATGTGTAAGACCGCCATCTCAAGGAACGGTCAGCTTCTTCTGTAAGGAGGGCAAACAACCCATGCGTTGGATCTGGCAGATCCTCAATGTTGGACTTATGACTTAGGGAGATTGTTTCATTTTGTCGCGGGCACATCTCTGCAAGAAGAAAAAAAAAAGTGCATCATTAAACTCGGCACTCTCTGGCCAAGTGAAATTTCTGTCTATAGCAGCAGAATTTTTGTGTTCCCTACTTTGGCAAAGGTTAAAAAAATATCCAGCAGCTTGAAAAAATGTAATTGAGAGTTTTCACATGCCACAACTGCAATGCAATTATGAGGCACACTGTAGTGAGGGGCTCTCCTGATGTCCTTTAACTTGCACATAGGTGTTTTTGTTTTGTTAAGTCTCTATCAAAGTACAGAAAATAAAAGGTGCATTCTCGAGCTTAGCAGAGCAATACCACATCCACTAAGCCACCGTGACAGGTGGCATAATCTGTCTGGGGCGCTGCACTATAACAACTATTAAACAAAGGGTGAAAATCTCGACATACATGGGCACAGTGCTCAGCCCATATTTTTCTTCTGTGTATGTCCCAATTCTCGCCCTCATTCTATAGCTCTGTTTCACATGACTAGCCTAGCAACAAGTACTCCTATACTACAGCAACCATCAAAGCAGATGGCACAGCTTTGTGAAAAACGTTGTGCATAAAAGAGCTTGCTCAAATAAGGTTGCGTTTGGTTTTCTTTGAAAGCTTTTGAAAATGAACTGAAAAAAACTTAAGCAGGTTTCGGTACATTAGCAAAAAATTATCCTATATATCAAGTGCAAACATAAGTACTTGTCATGACGCACACGAGCTGGTACATAGAAGTAATGTGTATCCACTCGTTCCTGGCAAGAACATTTAAGTAAAGCTGGGGAAAGATGCTGAAAGGCACAACCACATGCTATTTCTAAGACAATTTATTAGCAGTATGATAGAAGTCTTTTACGGCATCATACTTTAAACACTGCAGCCTCGGGACATTTTTTACGATGATTACATTTCAATGTACCACAGGACTTTGCTGCTTTCAATTGAAAGTTAGTCCCACCACATTTAAAATGGATACGAGCATAAAAAATTGCACACAGCACCTCTACTGACATTTCTTGACTTGCCCAGCTTAAAATTTGAAGTCTGTGGTAGCTGTTGCGCCTCGATCCTCTCTAACCAAGGCCCAGAACATACTAAACTGTGGTGAATGAATGAAAAAGTCTTGAACAAGAGGTGTCACTGGCGCCACTGTTTCGACAAGTGGTCTAGTCTTGTTCTAAACTGTAGTTGCAGCCTTTGAGAAGACAAAACCACTTCACGAAACATTGGCTGCAGTGACACCTCGTGTTCAAGACTTTTTGATCAATTCAAGCTTTCATCTCCCCCTGCACTTTTGCCTTACATGGATTTAAACTGTAAGAAAAAAAAAACAACTAAATGCATCATCACTCAAGATCTAGACTATTTATCGAAATGTTCCTGAACTTTGTTCTCTGCTAGGTCACTTTGCTCTTTAGTTGGAGCTTGAAACATATATGCCATAGATAAATGAAAATACTTATGTAATGGTTGCCATTGCATGAGTGGCTGGGTGGTGTTGCTGCAGGTAGTTCTGGATAATCTGACTGACTTAGAAATATAATTCGGCAGTGACATTTATATTGTTTAAACAGCGAGGCTGTTCATGGTCAAATCTTTCATGTCAGGGAACCGTGATAATGCAGGCTGGCATCACAAATGGGCACGGGCCACAGAAATTGGGTAAATTCTACAACACACAACTGCCACTGAAAGAGGACAAGGCAACAGTTAGCCCCAAAAAATGGCATGTGCGTCACCATAGTCACACACTGTCTCTTGATGTAAAAGGTGGTGGCCTATACCGCAACCTCAAAACAATTAGCACAGTGTGTGTCATATGGAACATTAATACAACAAATCTCAAAGACTTGCAAAAAAAAAAGAAATGCAACAGCTCGATGAAGCTACTGGCTGCCGGCTGCGCTGTTTCATCTGTGTCCACGAACTAGAGCTGGTTCAATTTTTAAGATAATTTTTGTCCTAAACATGATTCCAGAAGTAGAATTATTTGCCAGAATATTTGTACAAAATTGTACAAAAGCTCTGGAGAGATGGTATTTCACATTTGAATTGTAAATATTGGTAAGTATACTCTAACATACTGCCATACAAATAAGAATTGTAAAACTACAGATCCTAACGGAAGGGTGTCATGGCAAGATTACCACGATCCGTTTCAGCTTCACGTTGTGTTGCAGGCTAATCACGAACAAATGACATGTTCCTATTCAGTTGCCAGTAACAGTGGCCAATGGCAACAAAGAGGAACATGTGTATTCACAGATCAGTGCACTCCTCCCCAACAGGACATGTGAAATTGTCTTCGTGATCATGAGATTCCCTAAATTACTTTATTATGCCCCCTCCACTATAAATCTCCTGATAAGTAACATAGTTTAAGAAGCATTATCTAAAAATACTGAATTGAATGCATAATAAAACTTGTTTGGCAGAAGTATATTTGATGTTAACTGCACAACGTACACATTTTTCTGTGCATACCAAATGTGGAAGCTGTGGAAAATCGGAAAAACCCCATGGATATGCGGACCACATTGAACTCACCTACACAAGAGCAGCATTCAGTGTAGAGATAGTCAAGGCAGTAGAAACAGTCTCTGTTGCAGGTGACATTGAGTTTGTCGCACTTGCATGATTGTGTCAACATGCACTTGCTCACTATGGATGCACATATGGCTTCATTGCAGGCCAGGCTCAGGCTCAAGGCGCACGCCACGGCCACTGCCAAAGGCAGCAGCACCTGCTTCAACATTTTGCTCTGCAATGTACAAAAGGTGAGCTGTAGCAGCATTTACAAATTGAATGTAGTTTGCACAATGAGCAGTGATAATTGTTCTTATATTGGAAAACATTGCAGCATATAAGGTGACACAAAAGAGTTAATTTGCAACCAAGTTCACATGGCTCAAAATATCAATGGCACCATGATGTGATAGACAACACAGTCAGGAACAAAACTGAAAGTGGACTTCATGTGAGCAGTTCCTCCAGTTCCTATTTTGTCAAATTGTCAAAAATATATCACTTTTGTAGGTGTAGGCGAGACCAATAGAAAATTGTGGTGGTAATATTTGTCACAAGCATGTTTTGTTTTTTAGCAGCCAACTTGGAAGAGGTGTACCATGGTGCTTTTATTGTTTTTTCTGTCCTCATCTTTTGTAATGCGTACACTAGTACTCATCCAATGCCCATAAAAGTTTTCTCGGTGTAGCAAGACCATAACGAACACATATTTATTTGTTTTGTACCCCTGCTGCCTGCAGATGAGAAATGAAGTTGTAAGCAGCCATCACTTGTTTCGAAAGCCATTCCATGAAAGCAACAAGATTTGCTGCCAGGCCCTGCTGCAGCATTACAACAATAAAGCTCAGGACAGTGAGGAACAGTGTCACTTAAACCACTAAACACATACTTTACAAGTATTAATACACCATGCAGAAAGCTTGTTCATATACACAATTATTTTGAAACTGTTTATGACTGTAATGCTGAGAGTGCACTTGTAAGGCAATAATTCTTGCTTTACTTAGAAATAAATACAAGCATACACACAAACCCTTTCATAACCAGTCAGTGGGATTTCTTATAAATAAGCAAAGGTAAACGCCTTGTCCTATGACATTTTAACTACATGATTTGTGTGGCCCCAAACAACTGCTAACTATGTGGCATTACTTTTGGAAAATAATTCTGAATAAACCAAGTGCACCACATCTACAGCCATGTGTGGTCACACAATATAATCAAATAGTTATGTTCACAAATAATGCAGTTTTTAATTTCTAACTTCCAACAAAAAACTGTGCATTCTGCATGACTATTACACAATAGGGTTATCCTTTGCACTGAGATTTTCAATTACTGTACGCTTGGAAGTGCACATAACTTGTCTGGGGACGAGTGCATGCCAGCATAAGTCTCTGCCTTCATGTACAGAACTCCTTACTCTCGTTACTTGTAATTTAATTAGATGAAAACATCATGCAGATTATTTGTATTAATTGCACAACTTTATGCTGGATGGTCAGCGCTTTACCAAAATATTCCGTGTCAGCTTTGTGTTGGCATCTCGCAAATGTTGCCTGCATGTTCTGTACTCGGTTGTTTGCAATACCGGCTACGACAGAAAAACAACCCACTCGTTTTGTTTATCCAAGCAGCACACAATATCGGCAACGTGAATGTGCCTTTATTCGATGGCACACTAGCGACATTGGAGTTACACAATTGTCGAGATGACAGCGTGCATGCATGCTGAAATGCCGTATGAGCTTAAGGTATTTGGATACAGTATTTTTTACCGGAATTTACGTCGTAAATAATATTAAAAATCAGATGATGTCAGACAGTGTTGACGAAATCGAAACAACCAGTTGAGCGGTTACCACTGATTGGTTTCTGCTCCCGTCGGACACTGGAAGATCAGTGCAAATACGCGGTGGCTTCGCAACGTTCGAACTGCACCCGTCATCGGTTCCGTGTAAAAAAAGAGAAAGAAGAAAGAAAAGAGCACCGTCGTCGCGTGTTCACCACTGGTAACCTATATATAAGGTTGCGCGAAACCGAACAAAACACGAGCGCGTTGGCAACAAGTACCCGAGAGACTCGGCCATGCCCGCTCGGTGGCGAAGTCCGCAAACTCTGGTCCGTAGGAAGCCGCCTAATTTGAACGGCGCTGCAGCAGTTTATTGGGCGGCACGTGGTGTACTCGGCGCCCGGGCCCCGGCTTACCTGCTGGCAGCTAGTCGGCCGGGGCGGGCCGAGCGCGGCGGACGCACGCTGGCTCGGGCGTCATGGTCTCGGCGGCGCGCAGGCAGTTATCAGGCGACGCAACTTGAGAGAGGGGCGCAAAATGGAAAGTTGAGCGTCCAGTGGTTGGACGGAGCCAAGTGGGCCGCGGCCAGCCGCCCGCCTCGGACGACGGGGAGGGCAGCAGCCGAAGGCGCGACTCCCCCTTGCGTGCGGACGAGTCCAAAGAAGAAGGCCCCAGGCAGTGCAGGTGCAGGATTCCTGCGCTCCCGCCCCTTCGCCCCCCCCTCCCTGCACTCGGTGGCTTCCCACAGGGGTGGTCGTTCCCAATGTCCCCAGAAAGAGCCGGCGCAGGAATGCGCTCAAAGAGGCACAAAAGCAAAGCGGCACAGGTGTTGATTTCGAGGGGGGGGGGGGGGGGGTCCATTTTGCCCACATTCCGGTCCAACGAAAGCTCGAACAATTAGTCGCATGCGTCCACCGGCACCACTTCCGGCGCAACTCAGGTAGTTCTCTGTCAGCACGCCAGACGTCGGCGCGCTCCCAATTAGATTCGCCACCCCCCCTAGTAGATAACGGCCTCTTCAGTGGCGTCAAGTGGCACGCATTCGGCTCGCACGTCCTTCACACTCCTGCGCAAACACGCGGGGCCGCATTGTTGTTTTTTGTGAACCCCCTCGCGCGCGCGCACTACCGCTCCGTGCACACTTCCTCTCAAAAGCTCTCGAGGGCCGACGACAATGATCGCGCGTGAGGGTGATGGAGGTGACTGTTCCAGCTAGGGTTGTTGTTGGCCTTTTTTCTCTCCTCTCTCTTTTCCTCTTACGCACGCCGGAAAGCAAGGAGGGCTGGCGCAGTTTGAGTTTCATTTTGCGCCGTGACCCCTGTAGCTGCATAAGTTATGGAGCCGCAACTCCGCGGTAATCGGTGTTGAACGCTTATGTCATCCTGCGAGCATTAGGTATATTGTTGTTTTCGGCATCACTTAACTGCAGCCCGTCGTGATGTAAAAAAGTTTTCCATTACTGTTTTCTCACTGTCTCGCTGGTGCTTGTCTTATTTCCTTCTCGTTTACTTGTTGAACTGTAATTCCAATGTGCAATACTTAAAGGTAAACGTCTTGGTGACCGCCTCTCACGTGTTGCTGACAGGCCTGTTGCCGGGTCTGAATATTACAGTTCATCATGTGGCGTACGTCTAACCTAGATTGAGGTTGAGCACTACAGCTCGTCGTGCGTGCGCCCCTATGATAAGATGCGACTGCTAAATATATTACATCCTGAATATGCTACATAAAGAAGTCGTTGCCGTCGCTGCCATTGTAATCTTTTTTCAATCGTGCCGGCTCATTGCACATTCAAACGTCGTGGACCTATGCCGATACACTGTAGCAGATGGTCTACAGAACATGTAGCTTCTTTTGGTTTCGTGTGCTCTCACAGTACATGCGACTCGCAGAAACTGTCGCGGTACCTTCCGCATCCTGACCAGACTTAAGTGGTGGACAATGGTGTTATCTAAAGTTTGTCTGATCCCAGAAATATCCATATGAACATCTGTTGTACGTTTGTTCGTGGTAAGGTCTTCGTAATAATTGTAATAATAATTTGTGTGTTTTAAGGTTCCAAAACCTCCATGTGATTATAAGAGACGCCGTAGTGGAGTGCTCCGGAAATTTCGACTACCGGGGGTTCTTTAACGTGCACCCAAATCTGAACACACGGGCCTATGGCATCGAAAATGCAGCCGCCGCAGCCGGGATTCGATCCCGCGAGCTACGGATCAGCAGCCGAGTGCCTTAGCCACTAGACCATCACGGCGGGGCGGTAATGTCTTCGTAGACGAGTTGCCACGACTTGTGGCAGTGTTACGTGCAGCCGCAGAACCGAAGAGCCACCGCTTATCGTGGCATACTTGTCGCATCGGGACGGAAAGCATTTTAGTGCACGGAACTATCGCACGACTTATGCATACAAGGTCGCAAACATTTCGCATCTTGCACTTCTTGGTCGCGTTTTCTCCGTCACGTGGCTGCACAGCGTGGTCAACAAGATTCCACATAACCGTTCCATCATAATATACTAATCCCTGCCTGAGTTCGCTGAGGACGAGTGGCAAAGGCTTGGCATTCGGCTGTGAGCCAAGTGACAGCCATATAGTGATACATGGGTAAAGCGTGTCACGTAAATGGTGATCCTCTGAAAGAGGGCAACTCATGCTATTCAAGACGAAAATTCACCTGACGGGATACCGGTAAGCTATTGCGCTCATTTCTTCATTCATCCTGTCGACTAGTTTCAGACGATTACATCTCGTGTGTTAGTACCATTTCAACTAGGCGTTATGCCACAGCCTCAAACTTAAAGCCTTTCGTTACGCACACGAGCATTCTAAAGAGCAGTTATTTTCCTAATGTTATTGAAAGGTGGAATGAATCACCTGGTAGTGTTCGTAAATTGTTGTCGTCGGATTTCGTAGACACACTGTTACGATAATATCGTTTGTTTTCGCTTCTTTGTTATTCACTTGATGTCACCCTTGTTAACAGTGTATTTTTTGCCGTTGAACGTCTTATTTAACTCCTCACGGTACGGTCCCATCCGGAAGAAGCCAAACGTGTGCGCATGTGCCATGCAAAAGTAGCTCCGCGCGCGGTTGCTATACTCTGTCGGGGCTACCTCCAAGAAAATCGTTAATATCGTTTCCGACATTGCTGCACGAAACGTAGAAGCTTTTCTCACTTTCTCAACATCTATAGCGCCGCAAAGCGGTACGGTAATGTCACGTGACTGAGCGGCACGGAGGCGAGCGGTCTCACGCGGTGGCCGGTCGCAACGCAAGCAGGAGGCATGTCTCCGAGATTGCGTGCTGGCGGGAGGCTCCCAATTGAAAAGAGAGCGACGTTCTGGGCATAGTTTTTCTAGGAGGCGTTGATAGGGTAGTTGATCTCATTTCGTTTATACTTCTTCAACATGCAACGTAGTATGGAAGTGCGCTTTTAAGCATACC